TGGGCACGTAGCTCAGTTGGTTTAGAGCACCGCCAATGTTGCGGAAGGACGCGGGTTCGAGTCCCGCCGTGTCCTTAATTTTTTAGCAAATAAAGCTGAAGATTTAAAAACCATTGAAACCCTAATTGCTTATTTAATTATGACCCCGAACACTCACTTGATGTTTGTATGGATGGTCATCATTTTTGCATGTAACAACATCATTTTAGGCTTAAAACCTCTGAATAGAGCATAAATGCATGCGTTAGCCAGTGCTGATTATTTGAATGTGCGCTTTGTAAGGGGTATCAAGCAAACTTTTTATAATACGCATCATTTCCCGAATCTGGTCAAGTAAACTGAAACGGAGGGATTATATTCGCTGGACGTTTCCATACTGGAGAAAAAACGAGTTTTGTTTCTACTCTGAATGAACAATTCCATCGTCAGAACAGCTTTTTCATAAAAAGTTGTTTTTTGCCACTCACGTCTAGTAGGTTTGCGAGCGTACCATATCGGTATCGGTTCAGTCTAGAAAAGCATACAGAACCAAGTTATTTATTATGTTGCAATAAAACCATTAAGTTTTTTATTACTAAAAAAAAACTTTTTACAAAGAGCAATAATGGACAATTCATTGTTTTAATTTTTGCAATTATTTTGAACAATTATTGTTTGCACAGAAACGGTCTCCCACACAACTTTAATGGGAATGGAAAAAATATTTCGAGAGATTTGATTGGCCGGGATAGCATTCAGACGAAAAAAAAGCCATTAAAATTTTATTTTTTCCGTCTGAATGCCATCCAACGGCAAGCGACAAGCTCGTTGTCGTTGAGTAATAAAATATGACTGGAAACCAGTACGATGGAAAGGCGAGGGATGGCAGGCGCTCCAAGCGTCGTTTTGAGGGACGGCGGTCCCCCATTTTCTGGAAAACCAAGATTTCGATGATGAAGGGTCGCGGTAGAGATCTCTGTTACTCGAGCTCACAACCAGATTTTCGCCTGAGTTTGAAGGATGACGGAACCCTCGGAAATACGTGACCAGTTGCAACAGCTACGTGCTCTTGCTGCAGAGATCTGTGTTAATAGAGTTTGTGCACGATCGCGTGCGGTGTACCGGAACTCCTACATGCGCTTTCTTGTTTGGCTTTTAACTAACCGATCGGCACTACTTCGACCAGCAACACAGGATAGCGTTCCACATGCCTCCTGATTTTTTAGAGGCTTCCTACCGACCAGAAGCTGCTGCGGGCTGCTGTGTCACGAGCGTTGGATGGCGATATCACTCAGCCTCCGCTACGTTCTCAAGAATTGGAAGCGGGAGATTTCGTCGCTTGGTTGCCCACACTGCGTACAACTGCTGGTGCTCAGCTTAGCTTCAACGCCTCGAACACGCATCGCGCTGGTCTCTTCAACCTCTCTCGAGTATACAAAGAGCGTATGTCGACGACACTGGAGCAGGGACTCACAGATCAATTTAGGGGTCTTAACCCTTTCGCGAGCCACTTTAGTGAACTATAGTATACAAATCTAGGATAGTCGGTATCAAAAGGAGGCATTTTGCCTCCTTTAAGGCGAGT